CCATATTCTTTTGCAGTTGTTCATTGAGGAAACTTCATCCATATGTGAATATGATAAAACTCTGATAGTGCTAGAATGCTACTAGAGACTGACAGGAATGTGTTGATCTCAACAAAAGACGCTTTTTACAGTGAGAACAATCATACTACCTCCCCACTACCTCCCCAAAGACATGACAGAGTCCCCATCACTGGAGGTTCTCAAGATGCAACTGTACAGGGTGCTGGATAGTCTCATCCAGGCTCCATTCTCCACAAAAGGTTGGGCCAGGTGATCTTTTGAGGTACCTTTCAAATTGGGCTGTTGCATGATTCCATGTTGTATCAACAGCCTGTCAAAGGTTGAATTGCTGCAAAATAGTGTTAAGAGCTGCTATGTGTCATTATTTTTACTGAAGAGGGAACAGGTTAGAATCTTTCTTTTTGGAATAAAGCATGCCATCAGGACTTAAACAAAACAGTGTTTTCACTCTCCAATAGAAATCTACTGTTTCTGTCAAAGCAACAACTACAGACCCCAGTTTGGTAATTTTCCTGTTTACCTAAGTTTTCTTTATAATGTCAATATTTTTATCGATCTATGGCAAATAAAGGGTTGCCCTGTAATAGCTCTGAGAGTTGCAAAGCAAAATGAAGCTGTGTATATTATTAGGTTTTGCGTTATGGGGCTATATTGTTTGGCCTGATGAAGAGTTGTTGGGAGGTGAGGAAGCAGAACAACCTACTGTTTAAGCAGCCCTGCCCCTGCTTGCCCCCCCCCCCAAAAAAAAAAAAAAAAAAAGATAAGCAGAAATAACAGGATGTTAATTGACTTCTGCTTTGCCAACTTTAGACATAAAACTACATAGATCCTAACTGTTGTTTTAAGAGGGGTGAACTGACCCTTCCTTAGGAGACATTTCATTTATCAGATAAATGTGAAGATGTGGAGGATATTTGGAAGCAGTCTGAAGAAACTGAGCATACCATGCTAAATTGAAGGTGATGGCAGATGTTAAGTATGAGGCCTGTGTTTAGACTGACTTCCTGTTTTTAAAATCTGGAGGTTGTTTGTATACTTTGCTAGAAAACTGTTTGGTTACTGGATCCTGCTGCTATGCATCAGGAGGGAGCCAAACTGCAGACAGCAAAGATAATTTTTTAGTTGTTTGTACCCATGGGCAAATGAGAGTAGGAAGTTTTTTTGTGGTCACATGAGGGATCAGGAGAGGCCATGAAAATTGAGTGATATCAGCTCAGCATGTGGCAGTATCTCTGTTTAGCTTTTTTGTGTCGTTTTGTGTATATTGCATTGCTAAAATATGTCAGGGTTTTTCCTCCTACATAAGTGAAAATATTTTTGAATACAGAGTTAATAAAATGTCCAAGCCTGCAATGTGATGTAAAATTTCAGGAAAAATATTTGTCATCACTAAGCCCAGAGGTGCCTCTCGGTGTTCCTGCTCCAGAATAATGTGTACAAGTGCAATTAGATATGTCCCCTTTGATTGTTGTTCCAGTTGCCTGAACAGCAAGCGCTGATTTCCATCCTGTTCCTGGCCCACTGACTAACTGGGATTGAAACGTGACACTGGAGCTTTGTGTGTGTGTTTGGTCAGTCTTCTGTCTCAGGCTCCCAGTGTTTAATGAGAGTTTGAGGTAAGGGAGTTGATCTCCTGCTAAGGCTTCTCGCACCAAGTGCACCATTTCTGCTTGGAGTTGGAAAAAACATGCTTCTCATCTTGATCCTTCCTGACCCTCTACTGTTACAGATACAGTTACAGGGTAGTGTCACTGGAGCTCTGAGCACTGGGAAATATTCATGAGACACCAGAGGTGAAATACTATCCCCAGTGAAATCATTGAGAAAATTGCCTGCTGCCTTCAGGTGCGCCAGCTTTCATTCACCTTGTTCTTTTGGCTGGGAAAGACTCCCATCCAGGATTTGCTTCTGAAACTGTTCATAGGCTGAAATCAGTGTGCTTTCCCAGCAGTCATATGCATTACTTGACAAGTGCAAAACCAGGGTAGATCATGATTTATAAATGACTAGAAGGCTAGTTCTCCTAAGGGTCACAAATCACAAACCATTAGATCTGCACTGGTTTTAATTTGAAATTGTTGAGCAAAGTATGCTTACATAATGGCTCTACAGACACCAGCGAGTGCATATGAGGGAGTGTTGGTATCTGGGTCATGGCATGTCCTTCAGCTTCCAACAGTTTCAGTAGCATGGTAAAATCACAGAGCAGAGATGATGGAACATAGCAGCTTTAATGAGGCGAGAAGAACAGATTTAGTATGTGTGTGCTTATATGTAACCTAATATTAGTAACAACTTTGAAGAGCACTGTGTGTTTGACAATACAGCAGATGAAGTTACAGTTTGCAGACTGGGACAGCTGCACTAATTCTTTCATTGCTGTTGCAGTGCTGTATTGCCATGCTGCTCATGGGGAGGGCCAGAAAAGCTGGTGAAAGGGTTAAAGAACAAGTCTTCAGAGGAGGGGCTGAAGGAGCTAGGGTTGTTTAGCCTGGAGAAAAGGAAGCTCAGGGAGACCCTATCACAACTCCTGAAAGAAGGTTGTTGGGAGGTAGGTGTCTTTTCTCCCAGGTACAAAGTGACAGGATGAACAGAAATAGTCTCAAGTTGTGTTAGAGGAGGTTTAGATTGGATATTAGGGAAAATTTCTTCGCCAAAAGGGCTGTCAACAATGGAGGACAGGGTACCCAGGGAATGATAGAGTCTCCATTCCTGGAGGTATTTAAAAGGCATGTGGATGTGGCACTTAGAGAAGCAGTTTAATGGTGGACCTGGCAGTGTTGGGTTCATGGTTGGACTTGGTGACCATAGAGATCTTTTCTAACCTAAATGATAGTGGTCTTGTGTACTCCAGCTGGAAGGAGTTTAAAGTAGCTGGGATGAGTGTTTTGGGGTGCTTTTGTGGATAATGGTAGAAAATTGCTTTGGAAAAGGTAGTTTAAACAACAGCTACTTTGGTTACAATGTACAACTAGTTCTGTCTTTTTAAAAGGTCGTAGCACCTACAACAGGAGAAGATGGTTTGTTCTGAATTTTCTGCGTTGTCGGTTTGAACAAACCTGTTTGATTTTTGTGGGTGGATGTGGTTCTTCTGAATTTCTGTTAGTTTATTTCTACTAGTCTGAAATGTTGCAAAGAAAATAAATTGCTTTTTCTTAGGAATGTCTGTTGCTTTTTTTGCCTTCTGGCTACATTACCCACTTGCTGTCCTTTTAAGCCAGCCCTTGCCCTGGCCATACCTGGTAAGTCCTCTGAAGATCTGATTGCCCTGGCCTCTTGCATTCCTTATTCACCTCCTGTTCTTTTAGCCTTTGTCCCTCATTACACCAGATGAGGGCTGCTTTTCTGTTGTATGCAGTAATACCTTGAGATGTATGTTTTGTACTAAACCTTTCAAAGGTAACTTGTAGTGGACATGAGTGAAAAAATAAAAGGTTTTCACATCCATGACAGACTGAACAGAAATCCCACAACCAATTTGTTGGGTGCAGTTCAGCTTGGAAAATAGTTTGTATTAAGGCCTTGCAACCTGCAGTGTAGCATTTGCAAGCAGGCAGCTGAGGCCAGCAGAAATCTCTTCAGCCAATTTTGTGCAGAAGAAACATAATGTAGTCCTTTTTCAAGGAAGTGCATTCTCTCTGAAGTTAAATCTTTGCTCTACTGGCACAAGTGGATGTCTTCACTGGAGGGAACACTGCTGTTGAAAAAGTTGCGGAAATATTCCATCAATTTTGTAGATATTCCTTTTCTGAATTAGAATGGAAATTAAGTATGAGGCTTGTTTTTTCTTTTTCTTAATGGGTAGAGGTTATGGTTAATCACAGGTACACTAGATGTATGAGTGAGATCAATGAAATCAAAAAGGCTGCAAATAGTTCAGTATGTATGTAATTAATTACCACTTAGGGCAGGTATTTCTCTGTAATTATTTCCTTATGATCTGTTGTTTAATCTAAGAGCTTTAGGTTTATTTGAACTGCAGAAAGGAGGAACTATGCAAAAAAATCCAACCAGACTACCTTGAGGGAGTTGATGGTTGATAATCATTTGTTTAACAGTGATATTGATTATATAGATTGCCTAAATAATGTCAGACAGAAATTCAGGCATGACCTTTTCCTTTTGGGGGTGGGGGGTGTTACAGCCTGTTCTTTCTCAAGGCAGAGATTTTCTTAAGAGGAAGTGTGGGTTAATATCCTAAATAGTTGCATTTGCACAGGGGTCAGAGTCAAGAGTTGTGTTAGAGTGTTCTGAAGGTGGGAAAGGAGGGCTGGGAGGTCCTTAGGCTAACTTTAAGGCTGGCTTATCAGGTTATACATTATCGTTTGGACTGCATTTTCTTTTGGTCAGTTTGTAAAGCTTGGTCTTATAAATGTCAGTTTTGCACAGCCTAGTGTAACAGTTTAATGTTTACAGGTAAATAATAAAAGATATTTTTTCCACTGTCACTTGAGTCGGAAATGTCTAAAATAGTGACATGCAAAAGGTTTGCATCTAAAAAGCTTAGGGTTTGGAGAAGACCCTTCAAATAGCAAGGATTCTACTTCAGAGAGTTTTTCCTTGTATTGTGGTGTCAGAACTAAGTGAAGAGGAGCAGCAGCAGCACTGTGGTCTAGGAGAGGACTGACTTTGCAAAATAAAGGGGTGTTCTGATACCTGGCATTCCTTGAATTTTTGTGATTAGTGCTGAGTTATGTTTCAGCTGATTCCCAAGTCTCTTTTTGGCAGATTGCACTTTGCTGTTGCCTTCAAAGAGCCCCTTGCCAAGAAACTGTGCATAGTAATTGATCTCCAGTTTCAGCATGTGAGGAGGGTGAATATTTTCCTTTGCAGTCAAGGATGTGTTTGTACACAGTAGTGTGTATACACTTTCTGTGTGTAGACAGAGAAAAATAGATGTCATTTTGTATTTAATGTTTACTCTAAAATAGATGGGATCTCTTCAAAACATTTTTCTTTCTTTTTTTCTTTCTTTACAGGTGTTACAAGTAGCACTGAGTGCTCCTGTGGGCGTAATCATTTTACCTGTGCTGTCAGTGCTTTTGGTGAATGCACGTGCATCCCTGCTCAGTGGCAATGCGATGGAGACAATGACTGTGGGGACCACAGCGATGAAGATGGCTGCAGTAAGAATACTATCCTTGACTTGTGTTTGGGAAAATTGAGTATCTTTTTCTCAGTGTTTTACAGGCACATCCTACCACTTGTGTGACAAATATTTTTGATTGTAGATGATTTGTACTTTTGACTGACTCGGAGTTGAACAAAGCCATTGTCCAATGATATAAAACACAGTGGAAGCCCAACTCTGGCTTTTTTTGCAGCTGGTTTTAGGTGGTGCTTGGACATGAATATGTTAGAGGGCGAGGAGGGACAGAGAACAGTACCTCTCATTTTTCTACCCTTGCAAAAGCACTATCTCTGGGTTAAATTATATGATTTGGCTGTAAATATTAATGGAAAATAAATAGTATGAAGAGGTGTATTGAGAGTGTCTGCCCTCTTAAGTAACATTCTAGTTTCTGTCCTTGCTGCCCTGTGAAGGGAGGGAAAGGCAAGCACTGAAATAAACATTCACTGGTCTTGGGATCTGCTGAGAGACGTTACCTTGCAGGTACTGTGTATCTGCATAGTGTTGGCATCTGTAGCTGAGCCCAGATAGGTGAGAACTGATGTGAAATGTCATTTTGAGTGGATGTAGCATGATAGAGATGAATAGAGAAAGCCTCTTTCCATGGAGACACAAGTAAGTTCCTTTTTTACCTCGTCTCTTTGGATTCCACAGAGCATGGTAGAATTGAAGAGTAGAAAAAAACGCCTGGTCTCATGAAACTCCTTTCCTAAATGTTGCCCTAGAGCTGAAAATTTAAGGCTCCTGTCAGTGGACAGTAGAGAGAAATTTATCTTCCTCTGCTGGATCTTCTCTCTAACCTTTCCTGGTTTCTGCTGTTGATTACTGTATGGAAAGGAGCTTTCCTAATCTTGTAAGTATTGTCTTAAAGAATCTCTTCTTCCTTAAACATGGGATATGTCAACCCAGCTTCATGAAAATTTTCTTCCTTCTGGATTCTTGCTTCTTAAAATTTTGTGAACATTAAGCAACATGGAAGACCTTTAGTCTTGGAGAGGTGAGGCATATCCAATAGCTAAGCTGGTTTTATTGGCTTTTTCCTAAGCACAGAAGAAAATTCCTTTTCTTTTGGGTTTTTTTTTGCAGGTAGGTGAGGAGATTTGGGGGATGGTGGTGGGATTGTTTTAACTTTTTTTTTTTTTGTGGGCTCAGTAACGATTTAGACAAGAGATACTTCTTGATATAATTTTCCTGGTAATTCAACAACTTCCAGCACCAAAAATTTCAAGCTAAGCAGGCATGGTAGGACTTGGGGGTGGGAAAGATAAGATCTTCCATAGGAACAAGCAGGAGGTACTAACAAGAGTTGCTTCATACAACATAGGCTTGAATTAAGCCTTGCCACAAAACATTGATTCTGAAACTTCAAACATTCTCAAACAGCAATATGACAAGTTTATGGATGTATAATCCACTAAGGGCTGTTAAAAATGAATATGCCACCTCTTGTTTGGGAAGTCTTTGTATTACAAGTAGACGCAGAGTTTGTGTTTTGAGGAAGAACTTTTTTTTCATGCTGCTTTCTTCCACTCTTCTCTTGGTGTATTCTGATGCCTCACGTGTCTCTTTCTGTGGCCTCAGAGAGAGGAACCCTCTTGGTCTTGCACAGTAAGATATACTGTATTAAGGAGACACAATATATTAAGGGGATCTGGCCTGTATCTATTTGAATAGAAGCTGTGCAAACTAGGAAACAGTACTGAAGAGTGAGCAATCTGCTGATATTCTCAGGCACTGGAGGTTGGGAAGAATATGAAATAGAGATAGACATATAAGAGACAGAATATAAAGTGATGCAGAGAATGTGGGAACTGGGTTTGACTTCTGCCTTTTTTAATTTACAGTTTCTAAGAAGGTTGGCTGCTGCAGTTAAGACAACAGAAAAATTTCTATAAATATGTTGGCAGCAAAAGGAGGGCTGAGCAGAGTCTTCCCCTTAGCTGAGTGTACAGGGTAGCATTGTGTCAGGGAAATAAGGAAAAGGCTGTGTTACTTAATGCCTTCTTTGCCTTAGTCTTTAATGCCAAAAGCAGTTGTCCTCAGGATACCCAGTTCCTTGAGCTGGAAGGTAGTGACAGAGAGCTGAGTGAAGCCCCCATAATCCAGAAGGAAATAGTGACATGCTGTGCTAATTAGACACCCATAAGTCTATGAGCCCAGAAGGGATGCACCTAAAAGTAATGAGGACAAAAGAACTTGCCAAACCACTTTCAGTCATTTAGCAGCAGTCCTGGTTAACTGAGAAGTTCCAGTTGAATGGAGATGGGCAAATGAAGCACCCACCTACAAGAAGAGTTGGAAGGATTGTCCAGGGAACTAAAGGCCTGTCAGCCTAACCTCAGTACCAGGGATGGTTATGGAGCAGATCATCCTAGTGCCATCATACAACATGTGCAGAACAACCAGGGATCAGGCCCAGACAGTATGGTTTTACAAAAGGCAGGTCCTGCTTAACCAACCTGATCTTCTATGACAACATGACCCATTTAGTGGATGAGGAAAAGGCTGGGTCGATGGGCTGAGACCAGTTGTGCGAGGTTCAACGAGGTGAAGTGTCAGATCCTGCCCATGGATCACAACAACCCCAGGCAGCACTGCAGGCTGGAAAACCATGCAGCAGAAAAGGATTTGGGGGTGCTGGTCATACAGCTGAACATGATCCAGTGTGTGTGTCCAGGTTGCCAAGAAGGCCAATGGCATCCTGGCCTGTATCAGCAATAGTGTGTCCAGCAGGACCAGGGCAGTGATTGTCCCCCTCTACTTGGTACTGGTGAGGCCACACCTGAAGTGCTGTGTCTGGTTTTGGGCCCCTCTCTACAAGAAGGACACGGAGGTGCTGACGTGTGTCCAGAGAAGCACAATTGGGCTGGTGAAGGGTCTAGAAAACATGTATTGGGAGAAGCAACTGAGGGAACTGGGGTTTAGCCTGGAGAAAAGGAGGCTAGGGAGACCTCATTGCCATCTACAACTACTTGAGAGGAGGCTGTAATGAGGTGGGGGTCAGTCTCTCTTCTACCATGTTTCAAGTGAAAGGATGAGAGCGAATGGCCCTAAGTTGCACCAGGCAAGATTGGACATTAGAAAATGACTTTTCACTGAAAGAGTGGTCAGGCATTGGAATAAGTTGCCCAGGGAGGTTGTGGAGTCATGGTCTCCGGAAGTGTCTAAGAGGTGTCTGCATGTGGCACTTGAGAGTGTGGCTTGGGGCTGGTATAGGTTGACTGTTGGACTAGATGGTCCTGAAGGTCTTTTCCAACCTTGATGATTCTGTGATCTTAATCAGAATATAACTTGCTCTGTTTATACAGAGTAGTAAAGTGATTCAAAGGGGAAGGAAAATAGGAGCTGTCATTTTAAATATTGCATCCTGGTAGAATAGATACAAAGAGAACTTTTTCAGCTGACAGCCAGCAGTACTTGAAGTGCAATTTAGAGGAAAGAAGAAAGCAGAAATAAAAGTTAACATTTCTGTAGCATCCTTTGCTCTATTTTTTAAGTGCATGACTTCAGCACACACATTCAAGGTTGCAGTGGAGGAGCCTGAGGAACACTTCCTCCTTTAAGCCTGTTATATCTTGCTCTGAGTGGCTGCTCATTATGAATCCAAGTATGATACTATTCTTAGCTTGTAAGAACTAGATCAGCTCTACAGAGTAGGCTTGTGGTAACTGTGCTGTTTTGTGTCTGGCTTAGTTATTATAGCACCAAACCTTTTTGCCAGAACAGGTTGCTTGCTAAATCCCTCTTTTCTGCTTGGCTTACAGGAGCCTTTTGAAGGTGTACTCATTTGTGGGGTTAACCTTCCATTTTCTCTGCTTGCTGACTGTGCCAAGCATAAACAGGGCAGCAGGGAGTGCAAGAGCAGGGGTGTGGCTTGAGCCCCTTGGAACAGCAACTTGAACTTTAAATTGATTTAAGCTTCTCACAAATCAGGAGTGATGCACACAGTACATGAGAACAGTTGGTTCACTAATTTTTCTTTCCTTCCCTGGCTGTTTGTCTGTGACATGCATAAAGTTTCCTGGCTGGAATGAAATTTTGAGCTTCTCTGTTTTGAACTTGATTTATCATTTTATTTATTGACTGAAATGATTAAATTTCTTTTAATACAAATACTGAGCTAAAGATTTGGGTTGTTCTGAAGTCATCCAGCAAGCCTCAGATATACTAAAGGCCTGCTTTAAAAATTCCTCAAAAAACTGGGGCTAATCTTTGTGATGGAGTGGGCCCAGTTGTTTTTTCTGACTTATGAACTGCAATCTGCAACCACTCTATATGGAGTCTTCTGAGATGCTAAAGCTATTTAGATTCTTTTCCAGAAATGGTATGGATGTGCAGCTCTGAGTTTTATAGGCTGGAATTATAATATTAAGTAGATGTCTCTGATTGAAAGAGTGAACAGATGTGTTTGCAAGGAATCTCACCTTTCCACTGATCTGCCGCAAGCTAGTTTTAGAGTTACAGGATTCTTTTTTTCTCCTGTGAATGTCCAAACTTTCCAGAGAAATAAATCTGCAGCCATACCTTTTTAAAGTGTACTTTTCTTCAGTGTATCATATGCTCATATGTATACTCTAACCCAATTCAATGAGAAGAATGAGTTCTGTCTACTTCCTTGGGAAGAGGAGAGGAAAATGGGAAGACATTGGACTACTGGACTCCTAATAAAGCAAGAGGCTGAAACAGGCTGGGGATTAAGGTGTAAATTACTTTAGCAAGTCAAGATTCAGTCTTGCATCTGTGTCTATACAGTACCGCATATATCCTTGAGTAGTTGATTGGAGTTTGCTAAATTCTATATTAATGCAATTTTCTAGCCTTGAATTGGTAATCTGTAATTTTGGTTAGAGAATAACAGCTTGAAATGCAGTGTGTGGTATAAAAAAAAAAAAAGAAAGCAAGGTACTTGGTAGTGAGTGGAGTTACAACTGTGATAAACAGGAGCAGACATGGGAAACCCTCCTTTTGAGAGATTTTCAGTTTTGAGATAAATTC